AAAGCAGGCTGTCCTCATCATACATCCAGCCATTTCTACATTTGGGGGCATTTAAGTGGACTCCAAACTTCTCTTTTACGACAGTAATGGAATAGTGAGGATCTTCATGCATACAGCTTTTTCTTCTTTACGAGTCATCAGGCAAAATCCTAGGAAATGTTCTCAGTCCGGTGGTGTGTCCATGTTTGGCATTTAAAAAAATCTTACCAAGGTATTTTTTAACCTAATAATAAGTACTATTAAAACACCTAAGTGTGGTACTAAAATACTGTTACAGAAAATGAAAAAATAGCCCTTTTGCATGGATGTAGGAGGTGAAGGGTTCCCAGAGGCAGTGATGGTGTGATAAAGCGAATGCGCCTTTCAGGGCCTCACTCGGTCCCCACTGGGCACAGCGAGCAAACATCCTTCACGGTCCTTCCATCGGGTGGCAGGGCAGCGAAACGGAAGCCCTCATCTTAGGCTGCAGTTAAAAGAGTAAAAATAGTTTCCCAGCTTCATGACCCTATTTTAGAAGTGTCTCTTTATCAGATTTCTAGGCATGATTGTACTTATCTTTGTTCAACTTGTACAATAATTCTTTTTCTCAAGACCTGACTCCTCTCTAGACACCATATGACTAAGAAAGACTAAGGAAACAACCAGAAATGTGGCTTCAAAGAAACAGATAATGGGAACATTTTCTTACTAGTTCACCATAGAAACAATGCCAGCCAATCCTATTCTTTTGTGGCATCCTTATCATTAAAAACTTTCCCCTCTTTTTACCACTAAGACAACACATGATACATCTTCTATTTCATACACAAAAATGGACGTGCAGAAAGCCCACAGCTTCCGACAACAAAGCCCACCGCTGTGGGCATGATGGACACACAGGGAAGTCTGAAGGAACACAAAAACCGAGTAGAAAAAAACCTGAACAAACACAAAAACTGTAGAAAATAAAACAGAATCCACTATATAGAGGCTTCTGCAATGTGCTTTTTATGCAGCATTTAAATACATACATTCCATTATGAAATATTTACAGCATATAGAAAATTACAGGACCTCGTCAACCAGCTTTGGCTGATCTTAACTTTCTGCAATATGTACTTTACATTTTTAATAGAATTGAAGCCCTTGTGTGGATGGCCCTGTCGTCTATTGCCCTCCCTCCCTTCCCAGAGTTAAACCACATCCTGAATTGGCTGTAAACCGTTTCTATACATGTTTTTATATTTTTATTACAAGTAAGCATCAATAAAATATACTTAGCTTATTTTTTCCATTCTAAGCTGCATATTTTTTCACATTATGACATCTCTAAAAGAGGATGCATCTTACAATCCATAAATTCAGTGTACATAAAATAGTGGTGCACTTTAGCACCGATAATGTTTTAGAGTCTGTGAAATGTGGTAGCTTTATTTTACATGGTTTTTCAATGAAACCCAAATGCTATTATATCAATCAACTGTACAGATTCATATTTTGTTCTTGAGATTTGCCAGTGTCGTGACATGTATGCAACATCTTTAAATGTCCTAGTACACGACCACACAACACAGAATTAGGAGTCATTTAGGTAGGAAGTCCTACGCTTGCTAGTGGCAATGTTCTGAAGTGTGTACTTGACTGAAATAAAGGAGTAACAAGATGGAAATTAAAAAAGAAAGGAAAAAAGAAACAGAAGTTGCAAGCAGCTGAGTGTAGCGCGCAGGACAGCAGACATCTGAATAGGAACTCTGTGACACAGGAATGACCGTGCTGAGGGCTTTGCGACCCCAGAGCCCTACAGAAAGGCCTCTCCTGTCAGCCAAGCAAGGCCCTGAGGCCCCCGAGCCTGCGTTCCCACCGCAACACCCGGAGCGGGCTGGGCACTAGCCGCGGTCGGCCTCCCCCTCCCGCGACCCCCCACCCACCCCCTTGTGCCCTCTGGTGAGGAAGCCGATTCCAGAGACCCACGTCCCTCGCCTGTCGGCTCTCGTGCGCCCCCCAGGGGAAGCCACAGCGCTCACTCTGCACCAGACTTTGCAAGAAAATTTCCATTATGGGTTCTTAAAACCAAACTCCAGTTTCAGCTTACTGAGAGTTATAAAGGGTAAACAGTGACAGAACTAGAGCCCCTAATGGCTTTTTCTCTCTCTTTCCATATGACACACAAGCACCTTGCTGGGTGTGGATTTTTTTTAAAAGGGCCTCAATGGGTTTTTCTACACACACATACACAGAGCCATTAGCTTTCAGAATCAGAGGACATACTGCATTTTTTCTTACACGGATGCATTATATTGCTGATTAATTCTTCTATTTGTCCCTTTACCTCCATTTAATCATAAGCCAGTTGAAAAAATACGATATTACTTTATTTATCTAATGCCAACTAACAGAGAAGTGGCTATATTTACATGTATTTCTTAAAGTGTTACTGGATTCATTAACCAATTAAACTGTAAAATAGAATTCCTTATTTAATTTACTGGTAAACTATATAATATCATTTTATCTCTAACAACATTAATATTTATATTTTATATATTAGTGTATTTAATATAGGGTAATAGAATTAAACAGCCCCAAGCCATTTTATTGGTTTCTCTTCTCAAAACATTACTGTGAGCCCTGAAATCTGCTGGTATTCTGGTGTTTTGGAGTATTCTGCAACTAAAATCCTTTTACCTGCTGACATATGAGTGTGTTTAAACATAAATTACTGGAGCGTTCTTTCAATTCTCAAATTTGATCAACTGAGTTATCCTAATTTACCTACAGCCTTCAAGCTGTGGGATTATTGCTGCCAATTCTGCACACCATTTTTTAAATGCCAATCTGCTCTAATACCCTCCCAGGTGAAATCACAAATATAAGCCCTTTTTGATTTCTACTAATTAACTAGACGCTGGAATGTGCCAAGCCCCCTAATCTGTACTAGTGTGTGAGTGCGTTTTGCCTCCTTCATACGAAGCATTCAGAAAGAACTTATTAAGCTAAAATAAATTCCTTCCATGAAGGCTTTGATTTGTCCAGAAACTTCCCTGGATGCCTACTGCACGCCAGCACCGTCTACATTGGGCAACAGACACCACGTACACAAGACAGACCTAGGCCATCTCTGCACTTGCGCACCTTACACGCCTAGTCAGGAAAACAGACGTCAACAAATAAATCAAACTAACAGCAAGAAAGCTAACACCACAATTCATGCCTTGCACAGCACCTGCTGATGTGAAGTCACGGAAATCTCAACTTCAAAAATACAATACTTATCCAGGAACACACTACACTGAGTTTACGAATCAGCAGTGATGTGAAGGGAGGAAGAGAGATGACAAAGCCTCATGTTAAAGTTGTAGCGTAACAGTAACGGCCGCACAACACCGCAAACGTATGTATTATGCCACTCATGCATTATACACCCAAAAATGGTTAAAATGGTAAATTTTATGTTTCATGTATTTTAATATCATATATATTGTCCACAATAAAAAAGTAAACACATTGTATTAGGTTGTTAAGTGCTGTGTCAACTTCACCTAAAACTTGAAATGTGCAAATACTTCCAAGTCTCAGAATGGTGGGCAGAGAGGAAGCCAAACAGCGCAGAGCCAAAAACAGACAGAAAATCTGAAACCGCTGTGCTTCAGCTCTTCTAACCGCACATCAGCTGCTCAGCTGTCTTCCCTGCTCCGCTTCACCTGTGACGCACGCTCACGGCGGGAAGCCCAGCTGGAGAAAGGGGCCTCCCTACGAATGCATGGTTTCCCTCGGTGGTAGGTTCTCAGAATTGCTATCAACCCCTCTGTCATCACTACCTGGCTCGCAGGCCTCTGCCCTCTTCGGCCCCACACACCACTCTTAACAAACAGCCTCCCTCAGAGAACACAAAGGCCCCCAGCTTCCCCGCCTTCCACCCACTCCGCTCTGATGTTCTTCCCTCCTGGTCCTGAGCAGCTGGCGCCTGTCACCGGCCCCCACAGCCATGTCCTGGATCCCCCATTTCTCCGTGTCACCACTCCCTCCCTTCTTACCTGCACCCCATCGCTACCTCCCATCCACTGCACCCCGAATTACACAATGGAGACTCAGGTCAAAACATTTATGTATTTAATGCAACAATAAATGGAATTGCTGTCACCAAATGACTCACTTCCTAAACTATCTGTATTCAAGCCAATGTTATAATGTTACTAACCTGCCTAATTCCAGTAACCAAAAACACACAGGGGTAAAAGCCTTTACTGCTATAGCAGCTTTGTTAAACCTCAACTGGGGAGAGGCCCTGAATGCCTCTGTGAGCGCCACGGTGAGGCAGTGACGTGTCTTCCCTTTTCCCATGCAGCTTCCAGAGCTACAGGACGACCCGCTACAACACGGGGCAACGGGTCGCAGGCAACTAGTTCCCATTCACTTATTATTAGACTTACGAAAGCAGATCAATTTTGACAGTTCTACTAAATTACTGACTTGCTTTCCTAAAAAACTAAGGATATTTCTAGCTAAACAGAGTCATTATCCGGAGATTAGTGAACAATGATGAAGTTATCCTCTTAAGTAACCATAAATAATGAGGATTACATTGCCTTGACATTTTCCATGACTCATTCTCAGTTGCCACCAGACACCCAAACTCATCATGATGAATTAGAGGAAGACAGATTAACTGGAGTAAGCATTACTTTTACCAGATTTTTTTCCTCAAAAAGAGTAGTAATCTGCCTGGTAAGTGGCCCAATATTTGCTTCCTAATCAAAGTTACAAAAAACAAGAACCACATATGCAAAACTGATTGTACCAGCATACATGTGACAAATGAACACCGAGTTAACATATGCACAACAGATCATTAGTCAGACATAAAAGGCAAGAAATCCTGCCATTTGCAACAACATGGATGGAGCTAGAGGGTATTATGCTCAGTGAAACAAGCCAGGTGGAGAAAGGCAAGTACCAAATGATTTCACTTATTGGTGGAGTATAAAAACAAGGCAAAACAGAAGGAACAAAACAGCATTAGACTCAACACAGAGAAGTGACTAGTGGTCACCAAGGGGGAGGCGGAGGAGGATAAAGGGCACAATAATGCGCAATCAAAATGTAAGCTGGTCACGGGGATGGTAGAACAGCATGGAGAATACAGTCAGTGACTCTGTAACATCTTCCTGTGCTGACAGATAGTGACCGCACTAGAGGGGGTGAGGATTTAATAATGTGGGTAACTGGTGAACCACTGTGTTGTACATTTGAAACCAATATAAGATGGTACATCAACGATACTTTAATTTTAAAAAAATGAACACCAAGTTATAGAAAATAGTGTTTTTAAGTCAAAACCAAAAACTTATATTGCTCTTTTGTGACCTCTGACCTTTGCCATTAGCAAGTTTCTATCTGGTGTGTAGGCATGGGATTTAAAACTGCATGGCTTCTGTTTCTCCAACTCGGGGGGAAAAGTGCTGAGCTGGGCTTCCCTTTTCTCCCTGCCCCATAATCCTTAGATACCAAATGCGCTACCAGCTCACCCAGCGAACGCAGCAGCAGACAAGCACAGTCAAAAAACACTGCCTTACACCCTGACATTTGCTTGGTACAGACCTTGGAAATGCAGCCAAGTGATGTCAAAAAACCAAACAGCTGCTGGGAGGGGGAGGGAGTCTTGGCTCACGACAAAGGGCAGATACCCCCATCTTGCACAACCTAACTCCCCGTCACGCACCCCCTGCGTGTACTCGTTCTTCCTCCGGGGTCACGGCATTTGGGCACCCCCAGGGTCTGCGCTGAGCGGGGGCCGCACGGCAGGAGCCACACTCTCCTGCACACCGCCCCTGCACCGGCCCAAGGACAAGAGCGCCTGACACCCTGCAGGGCTCGTGCATCTAAAAGCACTGTGTGTTCCAAACCTACGCGGATGTGACAGGAAACCAAGGCAAAAACACTGACGCCTGCGGCAACCAGGTGGCCACAGGTCGTCTGAATGCGGACAGGCTCCATTCCTGGCCAGGGAGCCCGAGACAGCACCGCCTCCCCGGTCACCCCTCAGCCGTCCACTGCGCGCGTGCCAAAGCGCGTCAGGCCTCTGAAACTCTTCAACACTCCACCCTAGTCCTAGTCAAAAGAGAACTTAATTTCATTTATCCTAATTTTCTAGTAGCTTCCCTAGACAATTTTTTAAGGAGTCAGCCTATGCTTAAAAGGTGCTGTTTTTCATTATGAATTATGAGTGAAGTAGCTACTCAGTAAACTGTGAAGGCTGATGGACAAGATATCACTTGCCTGTTGAACAGGTTTTACACCACTGCCAATAATTTACATTTAAATTTGAAATATTTAAATTAAGTAAAACTATTCTAAGCTTTTCTCACAGTCTCTTGGTCTAAAATATCTTGGAAATAAGACTTACAGGCTGGCTTAATTACATCATGAATCAAAGAGTAAATGCCAACAGTCTTAGGGGTCATGTTAAATTAAATAGAAAAAACAACTAAATCTCAGGACAAAGTTTTGGAAATGCGACAATAATAGTAAAAATATAATTCTGACCTTTGGAAAGTTGCACATTTTAATTACAGAAATTCACAGGCTGGAAAGACTTTAATAAAGGAATGGAATTGTGTTACTTTTAAGCACAGTGATTTCGCTGGACAGGACACCTCCTGGGTGGGACCTTCTAGGCCTCTGTTACTAGTCAAGTTCCTCTCAGAGAGACAGAAGCCCTTCCCGAAGCCCCACCTCTGGCCTCGGCCTTCCTCTGAGGCTCTGGGGGTCACACCCCCAGGTGCCCGCCAGGCAGCATCCCTGATGTCCTGCTGGCGGTTGACACGTGCGTGTGGAGCAGGTCCGCCTGTCTGGGCAGCTCCTCCTACTCGGGGCCCTGGTCCTGGCCACGCACCATCCAGGACCACCCAGAACAGAAGGACAACGTGGGGCTCCCGGCTCAGAGCGCGAAGCCAGGCCGCAGACCCAGGCACCATCTCTGTGTCCGCGCCGCTGCCCACCCCCGTATCTGGCAGTGCCCTCCGCCCAGCCTCTGAAATGCCTCGGCTGTCCTTTCCTCCCCTGCCTACTGCTGAGTCTGCGACCCCGGCGGCTCCCGGCCACAGGCACGGAACTGGCGCCCCTCCTATTTTTCTCTGCACCCCAGTCACGTCTTAACGACCTCAGACGCCCTCAGTCCGTCCCCACTGCCTGTCTTTACAAATGTCCAGGCTTCCTAAGTCGGCGTTCAAGCCGGGCACGGCCAGCACCACCCTCCCTCTCGGGCTCAGCTTCTGAGACCGTCCTGCACGTCCGGGGGCTCTCGCCAACCGGGACCCGGCCGTGGCCTCCACCAGCCCCCTGCGCAGCCCCGCAGAACCCGGGTCCCGACGGCGCAGGCGCTTCAGGCTCCGCGCCGGCCCCGCCTTCCAGCCCCGCCGCCCGTGGACACGTGCAGCCCGGGGGGCAGCCACACCCGGGGGGCCCCGGGCACGTGGGACGAGGTGACGTAGTGGACAAGACACGCGGGGTGAAGCACCGCTTCCGGCCCGGCCTCACACCCCCACTTTTTGTTGTACTCAACAATAAAGGCCCAATAAATTAAATGATTTCTATCTTTTAAAAATAAAAAGCACAAGATAACCATTTTAGACATACATACACCCCGAGTAACTAAACCTAGTTTCAACAGAATCCGTTGGGCCCGGGGGAGGCCAAGGCGGCGCTGGAGGCCCGACGCTGGACTCGAAGGAACGCGAACCGGCGCCTCGCGGCCTCGTCTCCACGCGGTTGGCCTCCGTCCCCGCTCCCGGGCCGGGCAGGGCGCGTGCGGGGACAGCCCGGCTCGCCGAGGGCCCCTCCTGCGGGGACAGGGCTTCACTCCCGTGCATTCGGTGCGCGTCCTCTTGGGTTTACCGGTGACACATATGGTGGGCCAGCCCCTTACTGCTTCTGAAGGGCTTAAAAACTGGAACCCTGCCCGAAAAGCAATGAAATACGATTTAAAACTAATTTTGTTAAATAGTATTGGCATTTATCAAATTTGCGAATATGAATAGAAATGAAACCTGGCGCTGCCAAGGCTTTCCGGAAGCCAGCGCCCTCCTGGCGCTCCGAAAACTGGTCGAGTTCTCCCGAGAGCCGCCTGGCACCCGTAGCGGGAGCCGTCAAGCCAGTCGTGCCCGCAGAGCCAGAAGCCGTGCCCGCGGAGCACGTCCCAGGGAAGCCATCCAGCAGGGGAAAAGCAGTTTGTTCAGAGATGTACACAGATATGCCACTTAGGTTGCCTGACACAGCCCGCAACTCAAACACCCAGCGAGGAGCCTGGGGAGCAGCCCGGGGATGGCCAGGGTAGCTGGGCACCACCGAGGGAACATTAAGGGGCATGTGTGACATAAAAGTGCCAGAAAGAGAATGTTCACTGAGAAACAGTGAATATTCATGTATAAATCTGATTCCTTTCCAATTCTGAAACCCCTATCCCAGTTTATTTTGTAAGACAGAATCAATAGTCACTTGGAAGCAAAACATGAGGCTATTATAGTCTTTATGTGGTCCATTTGCTCTGAATATCCATATATTTTGAGGCAGAAATACCAATGTATTTGAGTACCAGGTGCTGCCTCAAACTCCCCTGGAAGATATTAAAAAATACAGTGTATGTACCAGGTTACTTCTTTAAAATCCAAGAAAATCTGAGCCCCAGAACATATATGGCCCCCAAGAATTTTGGATAAGGGACTGTGGCTCTGTACTGATTACATATGGAGCAACATATGAATATATGCATCAGGTATAAATTTAAAGTGAAAAACTTAACGTTTGGTATTCCTTGGCTTTGTTGAAAAAAAGTATATTGTTTCAGGAAGGCTGCTTCCTGAAGTGTAACATCCCCAGGAATGTGACAAAGACAGACAACTCTAGGTAACCCAATCTCTTTCCAAATTATTACAGATTCCAAACAAATAAAACTGAACTCACCACAATTTCTTTTTACTTAGATTCAAGTAGATTTGTACAGAAAATTACATAGCATTTCTGGAAAAGGCTCAGTCGTCAGTCCTACTGAGAATCATTCAGACACAAGTATATTGAAAGAAAATTATAAACTCTCATGTTTTATAAAGAATCTTCCAGGTAACTCTTAAATACACTGATCTAAAATTTAAGTTATTTAAAAGCTTACATCTTTTAGTTTAAATGAACATTTAAAAAGTAACCAAAACAGACAGAACTGTAGATGCTAATACTCCACCTGCCTCTAGCCACCGAAAACATTTTGCTACATGACGACATAGCCCCATAAGCTTTTATCTTGTGCATGTTTTAAAAATAAAAACAGACTGTGGTTCATTAAAAAATAAATAAATAAATAAAATAACCATTTTTTACCTAGGTAAAGGCTCTGTGAGATGTTTTTTCTGGTGGCCACTAGCAAAATGGAGGGGAATGGTCTATTTGCCTTTGGTCCCGCACAAGCAAGTATCCTGTGTGTAAGAAACACCTAAGAACCACCACAGTAAGATGATTTTAGATTAGACAGTATTTATCAATGCTGGTTTTAATGTTTCCTATATAATTACACATACAAACAGAAATATGAGCTATTTTCTCTTCTGAGCCTTCTCTACTCCCTCTACCCCCAAATCAAGAAAAGTAGTAACAAGAATTCAATGTTCAGTGTCTTGCCGGGTGGGGCTCGGCCAGGTGTGATTAGCACCACCTGATTAGTGCCCAACAACTAGTGTCCATCTGATACTGAATAGCTCCATTTTGATCCAAAAAAGTGGTCAAATAATTTGATCTTGTTTAAAATCAGGTCCCTTTACCAGTTCTAGTCTATTACGTAATGCATATTATTCTCTGAGTAGGAGACAAATCCTAACACCTGTAACTAAAACTTTATACAACTATCATTTATTCCTACAAAACGGCCTATGCTTAGGGCAAGTTTACCGTCACAGTCACGGAGGTCAGCATTTCTAATACTAACAGTGAATCATTTTTAACATTAATATTTTTACTATTATAAAATCAACTACCCAGTGATTAGAAGAGCATACTTTTAGTTTGAATTTAACACCCTAGTCAGTAGTTCTCAAATGGGGGGCCAGACAGGAAGGCAGAACAGTTGCCTCCCTACGGGGAGGACAGGGGGCCCCAGGAGGCACATCATTGTAAACAGCACATACTCAATATTGTAATTTTGTATTTATAAAACAGAAAGACTCCTAATTATTTCCATATTACAACTAAAAGGGACCAGATCTCAGCTGGCGGATAAATACAAACGAGTGGCTGTACCTCGCGGACAGAGGGGGCTCACACTGGAGGTGTGAATCAGCACTTCCTGGGGCTCCGAAGGTCTGCGTGCTCGTCGCGAGAGTGAGCGCTTTGGTCCATATACATGGTTTCGAATCTTACTTCGTACATATCCTCAGAATTAAAAATTAATGAAACAAAAAAGGCTGCCGAACTTGGGAAGCTCATTTCCTCACTGCTTTGGTTCCATTTCGTATGCAGGTGGGGGATGACTTTGCACTAATGGAGACACCTGAGCGAAGAAGGTGTGACCACGTGCCCTCGGCGCACCTGTGCCTGAAGCCCTGCTCTCCTCTTCCCGAGGCCCGGAGGGACTTCTTCCACTTCAAGCTTGATTCATGACTCATCTGAAGTCATACTACCTCCAGAACTTTCCAAGTGCATCAAAAATGTAACAACAGTGGCATAACATCGTTTTGTCCCACCGTTGGGGCAGAAGGAATGACATAGCCAACCATTTGGTCAGGATCTTACAGGGACTGAGCCACACTACAGAGGGGAGTGGCACATGTAAAGGCGCGCAGGGGAAGGAAGCAGGAAGAATCCGGGAAGGGCCAGGCCTTCAGCTCAGCCGGTGCGTAAAGATCCAGAAGGGATCGAGACCAGAGGGTCAGGCACCTGCCAGGGCTTGAAGGCCTTTAAGGAGTCTGATGTTTTCTAGAAGTAATGGGCGTAATGGATGGCTTTTAAACGGATAAATGATACAGCACTGTGCTTCAGAAAAATCACTCCAGTGGGTAACTGAGGACAGGCAGACCAGTGAAGGGGTGATGACAGTGACTGAGGCCAAAAATAATGAAAGCATGAAGTAAGACTAAAGGAAAAGAGGGGATTGATGTATGAGGTACTCAGGAAGCAGACACAAAAGCACTCTGTCTGATCTAACAAAATAGGAATGGAAATGGGAGAAATAAGGAATTAAAGTGAATTCTACATTTGTTGTCTTCAGCAACCAGAGATGTCACACGCTGAGAGAATTCAGAAGGAAAGACATGTCTGTTTGCAGGTAGGCTGCTGCTTTTGGTGGTAGGTGAAGATTATACGGAGTGGCTAAAAAACGAGCTTCTGATTGAGTATGATGTACCTGCACATCCCAGCGGAACTGCCCAGAAATAGTGTGGATATTGAACCGAGAAGTGATTCAGGCATAACAACCCCAAGACGGGGCCTGAAGCCACCGGGCACATGGGGCACCCGAGTGCAGGAAAGTGAAGCGAGGATGTGGCCTGGGGCTGGGCCTTAAGGAGCTGCAACCCGGGCTCAACAAGGACCCATATAAGAAGATAAAGCTAATCACATCAAGGGCACAGAGTACAATTTATTCTAAAAGACACCGGAAGATCTCTCCTGAAATGATTCTGGGACACTTTTATTTTGGGTTGATTTGGTTCTTTTAGCAATTAATTTTATTGATAAGAATTCCATGATAAACATCACAGCAATATTTGTATTGAATCAGAATTCACGACACACTGGACATTAGTCAGTCTAGCTCTGAATTCAGAAACATTCTGCAAATGCAATATGAAATGCTCACTTCACATGCATTTATTATTCCAAAATCCTGGAACTATTTTTGTGGCCTAATGACATATATTAATGGTCAGGTTACATAAATTTCTATGAATTGGAAGGTGGGATGCTTTAAAATGGGAATGAATGAAGGAAATTTGAGCCAAACAGCTGCGGTAAGTAAGCTTTTCTCTAGGCTTTTCTCTGTTTGGGGGTCTTCCCGGCCATGCCTCTGGACCACAGAGACATAATTTCTTCCAAAGGATACAATTAATTACCTGTCATCAATTACCCTGAATACTGATTCCGAAAACACTTTCTTTAAATACATATTTTTAAAAAGTCAATCTACTGTTAAAATATTTTTCTTTCTCCAGGAAGAATGCAGTTACGTAAGCAAGACAAATACCCTAGGGAGACCCTAGACAGTGCCATGGCTCTGCAGCAAGATGAAAGAACCCTAGACAGTCTGTTCCGTGGGGCACCTAAAAATGGGATTTCAATTTCCAATATCCAGCGAAGTTGCCATTTCTAAGGGAAAACAACATTTCAGTAAATTGTATGTTTTATTTTCCCAGAAGTGTCTGATTCCCCTCTACCCAGGCAAGAAGCATGCACATATGAACAGGTGCAAACTTAACTGAAGAGAGGCAAGTGGGGTGTGCAGCTTGTCCCCTGGACCAGCATTACTGATGGAGGCACTCCTGCTGTGCGTGCCTGAGGGCCGTCGCCGCAGGCAGGGTGACAATGGGCTGCGATGCACTCAACATTTTTCATCGGTTCCACTGCCTAACTTAGAGTTCAGCTCGCTTCCCCTTTCCCAAGTCTTAATTTCACAAAGTGAGATTTATCACCATAGAGAAAGAGGCTCACAAATGCCTTCCCCTGCCCTCACCATTCACTGGAATTTCATTAGACTCTCTGCATGTTAGAATGAGGTTCGGTGCAGATATAAAGGAACTGATTTATGTGCTTACTTATTTGTACCCCACCGCAGATCAAAGGTCCTCGGGAACAGCTGGCTGCGTCTCAGTGACCTAAGCACAGAGGATGTCAGGCACCTGATGAACGCCCGCAGAATGAAGGGAGAGTAACATGCAGATGTGCAAACTCACTCACATCTTAGCCGGAATGTGCTTCTCCAGGCCCTTCCGTGAGAAATTCCGGGTGGCCCACCAGGTGTGTAACAGGAGCCCGAGGGCCCTGGAGAGAAGCCCAGGAAGCGCCTCCTCAGCTCTGCCTGGAACCACGGCCCTGCCATGGGCCAGTCCACAGGGGGGTGACCCTCCTGTGAACGCCACAGGAAATTACTGTTTCTCCAGGGAAGTCTCTCTACAAAAACCTACTTCAGTGAGACATTAACAATTGGCAATTGTTTATTGACAGCAAAGCCAGATCAAGAAACAGCAAGACCTTGAGCCCTCATCTTTCAGACGTCGGTTCTAGCCCCAGAATGCCTGGTGCAGTGCTTGGTCAGCTGCTGCTGCTTGAACTGATCCACACGATGGATGTAAACCAGCAAAGCAATGCCAGAATCATTAAGGCCTGAGGGCGAGTCCAGCTCCATTGCTTAAGCTCTGCTGGCCGAGTCTCCACATTTGAAAAGAAGGTATTAAACAAAGCCTGTAAGGCTCACGCAGGAAAGCGGGTGAAGCGCTCAGCACAGGCCCCGCCACCTAGGAGGCCAAGAAACGGGCATCACCACTGGACTGTCTAGGTGCCGTCCACCACCACCTCCCTGCGCACCCTCGGGCCAGTTACGATGAGGAAGGTATTGAACTTGGAGACCAAGTTAACCGCCGACTATTGCCAGGTAATCTGTCATGAATAAGGCAACGGAAAACGGACCGACATTGAAAAATAAAAGCCTTAATTTCAGATCCTTTTTGTATCATACTTGAAGCCTACGTATGTTTGATCACAGATGACTCAGCATTAGGATATAAAAATGCAAAAGCCTCCACAGTCACACTTCAAAGCCAGCAGACACTTCAGAGCCTTCAAACACCTGGGCGAGGGGAGGCCATGCGGGTGGTGTCTAAACAGTAACCGGCTTAAAGACCGTCTTGGCACCATGTTTTCACAGATGAACTTAAGTGTTTTCTTCCCAAGACCTTGAAATGTATCAGCCCTGTCCTACACAGGGCCTTTCCAAGTGCACAGGGCCCCTCTGCAGGAATTAGATAAGGGCGCCCAGAGCACAGGTGGGTTTCCAGTCACCACGTACCCTGAGCTGGGCACCACGGGGCTCGGGCACACCCGCCCAGGGCAGTCATGCATGCAGCAGAGACGCTCAGTGTTTCACTGGCTTCCCTGTACACCTGCTTTGCTGAAAGCTGTCAGACTTAACTGAGTAAATGGGGACAGTCATCAAAACTGAAAATGCAGAGTTCGCAAACGTTCCAGAGAGCAGAGCCCTGTCCCGTGCCTCACCTGCAGCTCCCTGGCACCGGGATACTGTAGCTGACAGGATCTCTGGGAATGGTGGGTAGAGCTTTGGTCCCTGCAAGGCGCTGATCCCTGGAAAGCAATGCGCTTTCCCCAGCAGTTACTCATTTTCCCTCTCAGAAAAAGGAGGAAAAAACCCCACAGACACCAATGGACCTACTCACCTGAGTTTGCAAGAACAGCGGGAAACCAAAAATGGTTGTCTAGAGTACATTAAAATGTGTAATCCCAGACAGGAATATGATAAGTACTGAAGGGAATAGTCTTAAAATGTTGACTGTCAGTGCTGCCTCCTTGAGCGTTTCCTCCCAGATACCTGGGACCATATAAAAAGAGAATTTTTTACTATTGCACGTGCTTATCTATCCCGCGAAGCCTTACAGAGGCCGCCTTCCACACAAAGCGCGTGATGTTACATCTCTGGCTCTCGTGTACTAAGCCCTGTGACCCGCCCAAAGCAGCAGTCCAAGAGCTATTTAGGGAACAGAGTCACAAATGTTCGATAGGGCAGCTCACATGCACGGGGACGGCGCACGAGGGCGTTCTTCGCGGGGTTGTTCGTGGCGATTCGGAGGCAATCTGAACGCTCACCAAGGGGGGCCGGCGTAGGTACACATAACGCATTCACGCCGTGGGAGACCCGAGTCAACGCTACCAGCCTCAGCTGAGGTATTAGGGGACACGTTGCAAACGTTACACACAGAACAAAAGCACCCTGCGGGGTGACACCCATCGCACGGCGTTTTGTGCGAGGTTTCGGGGGCCGAGCGCGCCTGTGCCCCGCCCGTGCCCCGCCGGCCCTCGCGTGCGCGCCCAGCACCTGCCACCCTCACTGACGCGGGAGCAAACCAAGCGGAGGCCGGGGGCGGGGGGCGGCCTGCGCCGCGGCCGGCAGCCGGGCCGCCGTCGGGTCTGCGCCCCGCGCCCCGCCGGCCCACCTGTCTTGAAGGCCAGCCCGTCCTCGTCCGCGGCCCCGAAGGTCTTGAGCATGGACACGAAGAGCACCCCGCAGGCGTTCTGGATGCCGAACACCGAGCCGTTGCACCACATGGCCGCCAGCATCACCAGCCAGCCCCAGCCGCCCTCGGGAGGCGCGGGGGGCCCTGCGTCCGCCGCGGCGGCCTCCTCGGGGCCGGGCGCGCGGCTGTCGGCGGGCGCGGGCCCGGCGGCGGGCTCGTCCCGGGAGGGCCCCATGGCCGGCGCCCGGAGCGCGAGGGCTGCTGCGGGCGGGCTGCCGCGGAAGCAGCGCGCGAGCGCCTCCCGAGCGCCCCCGGCTGCGCGCCCGGCCGCGTCCCCGGCGGCTCTGCAGGCCCGCGGCCCGGCCGCCCCGCCCCGCCTCCGGGCCGGCCGATTGGGCGGCGGGGCGGCGGGCGGAGGCCGGGAGGGTCCGCAGCACTTTACCGGGCCAAGAGTGCACACTAAGAAATAAATGCACAGAAGCTGGATGAAGGGGTATGGAAACCCTCTAGCATGTTTGCAATTTTTCTATAAATCTAAAGCTCTTCTAAAAATAAAGTTTATTCTTAGAGAGTGTATGTATCGTGATTCCATTCTTATAAAAATGTATATATGTGTGCATAACAATGTATTAAACGTGATAGTTTATTTTTGGTTTTCATTCTATATATAATTGCTATATGTATAATAAATGTACACCCAGATTACAAAATGTTGTTTTTGAATATATAGCTCATTCTCAAAATTCTTTCCTATTCTATGTCGACATTATTTCCAAGCATTATATAGTGCACCGTATTTTAAGATTAAAGTGGACCATTTTTCAGGGGGTCTTGATTTAGGAGAAGCTCTGACTTACAGGGTTAAAGCATTACTGCCCAGAAAGCACTAGAACAGTGCCCAGCTCACAGCTCTTAGGAATGTTAGCGTTATTCCCGCTATTATCACTGTTGCTGATGATTTCCCATCATCAGCGTTTTATTGGAATCAAAGTAGCTTAAACGGATGTTTTACATGTTTGTAAATACAACCTTTCTTTGGTCACGAATATATCAGGTCAGGAAACTGAAATATAAAAGCATTTAAATTTAACAACTTAGACTTCCTTGTCTTCAACTATACGTTATCTGTTCCTTAAGGAGAAATTGTTTAGTTTCCACCACTCTCCCCATCTCACAAAAGGCACCACTTACAAAATCTGATACAAAGTCTACAACACAAATAAACGGAAAGATATTCCTGTTCATGGACTGGAAGAATTATTGTTAAAATGGCCATAACACCCAAAGCAATCTACAGATTCAAATTTCCCACCAAAATACCAATAGCATTTTTCACAGAACTAGAACAAATAATCCTAAAATTTCTATGGAACCACAAAAGACCCTGAACAGCCAAAGCGATCCTGAGAAAGAGGAACCGAGCTGGAGGCCTCCCGCTCCTGACTTCAGGCGGTGTCACGAAGCTGCGGTGACCAACACGGCACGGCACTGCCCTGAGGCCACACAGACCCAGGGAACAGAACGGACAGCCCAGAAATAAATCCATACATATATGGTCAGTTAACCTACGACAAGGAGGCACAAATATAAAATGGGGAAAAGACAATCTCTTTAATCAATGGTTTTGGAAAAATGGGGCAGCTACATGTTAAAGAAAGGAACTGGAGCACTACCTTATACCATATACAAAAATAAATTCAAAATGGATTAAAGGCTTGAATGTAAGACATGAAACCATAAGGCTCATAGAAGAAAACATAGGCATTTAAGCTCTTTGATATCACTCTTAGTGACACTTTTCGACTAGTCTCCTCAGGTGACACAACAAAAGCTAAAATGGACAAGTGGGACAACATCGAACTAAAAAGCTTCCACACAGCAAAGGGCACCCTCAGCGAAACAAAAGGGTGACCCAGTGACTGTGAGAAGATATTTGCAAGCCATACACCCAGGTAGGGGTTAATGTCCAAAACATATGAAGAACTTACACAACTTAATATTAAAAAAATGATTAAAAAGTGGGCAGAACGATCGTATTGGACAAGCAGTTCACTAAAAATACCAAAATTATCAAGATGGCAATTTGAAATCTGAATGCATGCTCCTATTTTCAAAGTTAAACTTTCCTGTAAGTGTATAAGGTAACCTGTAGGGACCAGTAAACTATTTTTTAAATTAAAAAAAAAATGGGCAGAAGACTTGAATAGACATGTTTCCGAAGAACACATATAAATGTCCAACTAAACATGAAAAGATGTTCGACATCACTAATCCTCAGGGAAATGCACACCGAAACCACAAAGAGAGATCACATCACAACTATAAGAGTGGCTATTATCAAAAAGACAAAAAAAAACAAGTGTAGACGAGGATTTGGAGAGAAGGGAACCCTCTTACACTGTTGGTGGGAATGTAAATTTGTTCCGCCACTATGGAAAACAGTATAGCAGTTCCTTGAAAAATTAAAAACAGAACTACCATACAATCTAACAATTGCACTTCTGGGTATTTATACAAAGACAACAAAAACACAAGTTTGAAAAGATTATGCATCCCTATGTTCACTGCATCATTATTTACAACAGCCAAGAAAGGGAAGCAACCTATTGATAACTGAATGGATAAAGATGTGATATATATTAATAGAACATTATTACTCAGCCATAAAAAAGAATGAATTTCCAACAACATGGAAGGATTTAGAGGGTATCTTATGTTAAGTGAAATAAATCAGAGAAAAACAAATACTGTATGTTTTCACTTGTATGTGGAATTTAAAAAGCGAAACAAAACGGAAATGCACTCGTAGATACAGGAAACTGTTGGCTATCAGGGGAAGAGGAGCTGGGGGACAGGCTAAATAGATGAGGGGGATTATGAGGTACAAAATTCCAGTTAAAAAATAAGTCATGGGTCATATACCCTAAGAAGTGAATGATGGTTACCATAGGGAAGGTGTTGGCATGGGAGGTGGGAAAGGCGAGGGGGTACAGGGGTACAAAAATCTCAATCATAATATAAATTGGCCATGGGGATGGTGGTACAGCACGGAGGATATGGCCAATAGTTCTGCAATATCTTCCTATGCTGACAGTAACTGCACTAGGGCGGTGAGGATTTAATAATGTGGGTAACTGGTGAACCACTGTGTTGTATACTTGAAAGCAAAATAAGATTGCATATCAACTATACTTCAATTAAAAAAATCAGTTGTGGGGATGTAATGTACAGCATGGGAAATATAGTCAGAAATATTATATAAACTTTGCATGGTGGCAGACGGTAACAACTTATTCTGAAGATCATTCCTAATATATAAAGATATCAAGTGACTATCGTACACCTGAAAGTGATAGGATATTGTATGTCAATTATACTTCGATTTTTAAAAATCTGATACCAAGTCTCCCGTGACTAACACGCCCTCTTTGGGAAGGTCGGCTCAGTGACACTGGCTGAAGCAGTCTTCTAGACCGTGGTCTGAGCGACAGGTGTGAAGATCACCAACAAGGGCTGAAGCTTCAAAAGACATCACCATAAAACTCCTAGAAAAAAACATAGGCAAAAATCTCTTGGACATAAACATGAGCAACTTCTTCATGAACATATCTTCCTGGGCAAAGGAAACAAAGGCAAAAATGAACAAGTGGAACTATATCAAGCTGAAAAGCTTCTGTACAGCAAAGGACACCATCAGTAGAACAAAAAGGTACCCTACAGTATGGGAGAATATATTCATAAATGACAGATCCGATAA